CGTTACCAAGAACAGCAGGAGGCAATGATGAAAGATTTTCCCGTCCAATCTGCATCGGCTTTAAAGCAAATTGAAGGAGTGCAGGAGGTTGATGAGTCAGCCCCTGTGGACGAATCTGGCTTGGAGTCCAAGGATATTGAGATGGTCATGTCGCAGTGCAGTGTTTCTCGTCACCGTGCAGTACTGGCCCTCCGCGAGAATCAAGGTGATATCGTCAATGCCATCATGGCTCTCTCTGATTAACTCTATTAAATGTTGTAATATTTAATCGTATCGGGGCTTAACGGACAGGGACAATTTTGCTCAACATGTTCTCTGCATGTGGTCTGCATGTGCTCAACGTGTTCTCTGCATGTGGTCTGCATGTGCTCAACATGTGTCTTACTTTGTATATGTCACGTTCAAGCTGGTCATTTGGATACATTTTTATTCAATTTATTTCATACTTTTGGAGAAGCAAGATGAGTGCCTTAAACAGCGATGTCAGCTCTTGAAGGCTAGGATCGTTTGTTGTGTCTTCGTTAATGTCGTTGATCAACGAATTAAGCGAATTGGTTACCTGATCTAGGATGATTTTTCGTTCTTGTATATTTTTAAGGGTCGGCAGAAACACCATCAAGTATTTCAAAAACTCAACAATCACCGAAAGGGGGACAGACAGTTCCAAATCAGATAATTGTCTCAGTGTATTTACGATGAAGCTAACAAGGACACCATGAAATGGAAGCAAAAAAATCTATATAGCATAACAAGATAACCAGACAATACCTCGGGTGTGATGGTGGCTGGCTCCAATAACGCCTTCCAAAAAAAGAAATCTTCTGCAAAAACAATTGCTGGAGGGCAGCCAACAAATAGCGAAAGCGTGCATGCAAACAATTGAATTTGGCAGGTATCATCTACAGGCCCCAAGTAGGCCATTCGAATGATAAAGCTCATTAAAAGCTGGGACTAAACCCAAAAAACATACCTGCAGTTCAAATTGGAAATATTCGTCACAATGGCACTGGTCAAGAATCGATCGGACATTGGGGACGATATAATTTTCTCCAGAAAAGATCCAGCGCGACAAAAGATCATAAAACCGAATTGCAACGGTGGCAGATTTTGTTTGTATTGTTGGCAAATCACATTCCAAACGAAAGAGCTTGTCAAATTTTTTAGAAAGGAAATAGAAATATCTCAACGTGGCGACAATATCATAAAATTTCTGAATTAAAAAAAGGCTTTACCTTGTCGCCATTTTTACCGTCATTATAAACAATCATGTCGTGGCAAAAGGAAAAAATTGCGTGCTTAGATAAGGAATTATTGAGTAGTATCCCAATATCGCTAATCGTTAATGAGCCACAAACCTACGACAAAATGTATTCGTCGGCTTTAGAGATCGACTTTGCAATGATTTTGAGATTATTTGCCTTCACCCAGAGCTCGTCTACAGATGAATGCGGTGAAAAGATAAGTTTGACGATGGAAGATAAAAGATCCGACCTAGAATGTGATATCTTGGATTAATTGCGCATCATACCTCTCTATTTGACGGATAAAAAATGTCTACATTCTTTAACAGAATTGTTAGCAAAATACAGCTGGCACTAGCTTCCTTCTTTACATCTGAAAAGCATTGTGCTCTGATGACATCAACAACCTCATTTAAGATTCCCTGTCTAGCCAAAGTGGTATCAACTCGCTCAAAAAGCGAAGACAAGTATTTGATGGACTCGTGATCTGCAAGTGAATGTCTAAAATTACCATATAAACAGAAATCAACTACCTCAATGAGGTCAATTCTGGGGAATTTACATCGGAAGCGTTATATTGAAGTGACTCTGGAAAGGCAATATTTTGCTGGAAAAGGGTGTCTATAGCTCCTCTTATATCGGCAGAAAGTATTCTTGGCCTTAAGCTGTTCAGCTGAATATTTTGATAATCAACTTTCCAAACCAATACTTGGATATCTGTCGGTAAAAGCTAAAGGGAGCATATAAATCAAGAATACTTTGTAAATTCTTCGGTTATTACAAAAAAAATCAAGAATCAAATATTCAAATGGATCAGCTCCATCTTTAAAGGAAAAAATCGATACTAAATCAAGAAGGATCTCCTTTACGAATTCCGTGATTAATTCCTTGTTTTGAGCGCCTGATTGACCCAACTCATGGTAAAGAGAGATAAACGAGAGAGCTCGTTCCAGAGCCCGGGTTTTTTTTTCACCTGTCAAGCTATCCCACTTTTCCTTTAAAAGGAAAATTTGGGATTTGAAGATCAAAGCGTGAAAATTGTGAGTTATTCCATTACCAGATTGGACAAGCGGGCTAAAAACTCTGTAAATTTGTTTGTATTTTGCTACGGATAAAAACAAATGCTAGAAAAACCCATATCTGGATATTCAAGGGTAGATTCGGATTGCAGTGATTTAACAGTCTCACATGGTCCACGGGAAAGGAATATTTCCTTAATTCGATCCCGCTCCTGCTCTCGCTCAAGAGCAATTATTGAGCTGGCTTTTATAGACATAAAAATTTTGCAACACTTTAGAAGACATAAAATGTTTCGACCCGGAATCGAACCGAGGACCGCCTGTGTGTTAAACAGAAGTGATAACCAACTACACCATCGAAACACATTTGCATCTGAATATAAATATATAAATAATAAAAATACTACAAATAACGTATGCTGGACTTGATTTATTATGAATTCAGGAGTTTCGATTCAATTTCCTCTCTTTGACGAGACCCATTCGTGTCGTATTTTTGAGCAGCAATATTCGCAAATTTATTTTGTCAGACTAAACCAACTACGCCAATCTATTCTTGAATCATTTCTGTCTTCAACGAGTATTTATTCTTGTTTTATTCTTGTTAGCTTCGACTTCACCAACACACACGCAATGCAGACTTTTGGATCTAAAATTGGATGTTCCATCTTTTGTTGTTGGAACAATTTATATAGATCTTCCCAAAAAGCCGAATGTTCTTTCTGAGCTTTCAACACAAGTTTGAAATTTTTCCATCATTAATTTATAGCTGAACATCAATTCTTCTTTTCCTCAATATTTCGGAAATGACATCCCAGCGTATGGCGATGATAACGCCTTTGCTAGAAACATTTTTGCAGAAGATGAATCTGGAAGAATACAAATTACCTTTTCTGAAAATGTAAAGCTTCGAAGTTTTGTTACCTCTGGTATGGTTCTAGGTCTCACCGGCCGACAAGCCAAAATTGAGAAAAAACCACTCTTTGTGGTGGACTCCATATATTTCGCCTCATCTTTCGATAACCTCACTCCGGTTTTTGCACTACCTAACATTAAGAAAAAAATTTCCTCCAACGATATTGTCATTGCATGTTCGCTATTTTCCTCCTTTGAATCGGAAAATTTCCTAAGCCTGCAAAAAATGTTTTCCTTTCTACAGATGGAAGAAATGAACACCCCGAATAGAGTTATAATTGCTGGAAATATTTGTGCCTTAGATTCTCAAGCTGATGCGGATACAGCATGTTTTATTTCTGATCTTGACAATTTTATTTACGAATATCTCGTTGATACAAATAAGTCTGTCATTCTTATTCCTGGCTCTAATGATCCCACCTCAATTTCCCTGCCTCAAAGGCCTATAGTTAGAGGGCTATTTGAGAAGAGTTCTTCCCTTTTAAAATCTCAATTTGAATTGACAACAAATCCTTCCTATTTGACATTGGACGGGAAAAAGGTTTTGGTCGTGTCCGGCCAAAATATCGATGACATGGCCAGATATTATGCCAAGCGAGCTTCTCATTCTGAAAATCTTGATGAAGGGCAACTCAGGCTTATCCTTGCGCAAATTACTTTGGTCTCCAGACACATTGCACCAACAGCACCAGATACATTATGTTGAGTTATTCCATCCTAACTTTAGTTTGTTACCCTTTTTGCCACAAAGATCCATTCGTTATCGAGGGAGATGTCGATGACTTTCCAGATATTTACATCATATCCAATCAGCCTTCATCAAGA